TTTTATTTCTACTTGGGTCCTTTCCCCCTTACTCAGAGTGAGGAAGAACCCAAGGGTATCATCTACTCACTACCACTTCATCCTTTTCCCAGGGCCCTGGAGAGTGGACTCAGAGGTCTTCAACCTGTCACAAACTTGGCCCAGAGAATGTCCAGTCTCACCCTTCTTCACTAAGCACTGCAGGTGCAAACTCAAATGTGTGCAGGTCAGTCTGAATGGCAGAGTTCTTGGCTTCAGGAGACCTTAGAGCATTACACAATAAAATGAGCTGGACACTTGGCTAAGGTCCTCTGGCCTGGCTCTGTGGAGGGGACAGGTCTTTAGGGTTCATGGTGAATGGGTAAATCTGCCCAAAGGCAGCAATTTCCTGAGTCCAGAAGATAAAACAAGTGTAGGGCTGCTCAACTTTTCTCATTTTCCTTTCAGACCCACTGTTTTAACAGTTAAAAATGACAAAAACAAAAAATGTGACTGTGAGTGGGTGGGAATGTGGATGGGTAGGTGGTTGTTGTTGTTAAGTGCCGTGAATTGGTTCCAACTCATAGCAACTTCGTATAGGGTTTCCAAGGAGTGGTTGGTGGGTTTGAAACTCCAGTCTTGTGATTATCAGTCTAGTGCTTTATCCTATAGTGCCAGAGTACATATGTTTAATACACAAAATGTATATTGAGACGAATGGGAAATCAAGTCATCAGTGACGGAAGGAACATGCCTCCTGGCTAGTCCATCGGAAATAGTTTTCCGCTTCATGAGTGTTGTTGTTTAAGTGCCATAAAGTCGGTTCTGACTCATCACGACACTTTATAGGGTTTCTAGGAGTGGCTGGTTTCTAAGGACAGCTAAACTTGCAGTTAGCAGTCCAGTGCTTATCCTACTGCATCACACCATGATTCCTTCATGAGTGTGTGGTTACGTGCCGTCGAGCTGGTTCCAACCTATAGTGACCCTGTATAGGGCTTCCAAGGAGTGGCTGGTGAGTTTGAACCACTGGCCTTGTAGTTCAAACTGACTTTGCAGTCCAGCACATTGACCCACAGTGCCACCCCAGGACTCTTTCATGAGTGTACGGCCCCACAAATACAATCCACATTGAAATATTAAAAAGCAAACACATTTCTCTTGCATTCACTCACTGGAAGGGTGTGAATGACTCAGGGTCCGGATATGCCTTGTTATATGTTGATGGCTGCTGATTCAAAATGAAGCTGTAACTGACAAGTGCTGGGAGTAATTTCTGGCTGCAGAACATATTCTTATTCTTAAGCGACAATGCAGTTTCTTACAGCATCTACCATGAGGCAAGCCAGTTTATGAGTTAAAATGACTGAATGGGTTAAAAACTAGTGAAGCAACAGGAAGAAGGCGTAATAGTGAATGGTTGCTCTTCAGAATGGAGACGAGTAGAGGTAGATGCGATGTTTTAAAAATACATTCATTAATGATTTGAGGAAGGAAGTAGACTGCAAGTTTGTATATGATGCAATATTGTTCCAGTTACTAAACATTATGAAGAAATGAGAGGAACGCTAAATGAACTTGAAGCAAAATTCAAGGGCATAAAGGGGAGTTAGATGTAACAACCTTCTTGTAATTGTACTGAGAATAAATTGTATTTGCCTTTATAAAATTTTATTTCCCAAATATTCTACCTTAATAATAAAACATTGACTCTAGGAAAGAGCTCTGCACAGTAAGTCAGTATCAGTAATTGAATATTAACATGCTTAAGTGTTTATTCAGATTTAGAGTAATTACAAGTGACTTAAGACTTAAAAGAAATGGAGTGTCTGATTTTTAGCAAAACAGCGTAATTCTGAAATCTGCAACAAGAAGACTGGGAGAGAAAACAAAGTGGAGTGTCACTTCATGTTATATTGTTTTCATCTCTTTAGTAACAATTTAGTAATAGAGTTATGTGCCTGGGGTTAAGACAATGAACAAAAGTATGGAAATTAGAAGAATCTGGTACAGGTATAAATATTTTAAAGAAAGAAATGAACCTTTGAAAACTAGCTTTCATTTCAAATGATAGGATGTTGTTATTAAAGTTTCCCATATTCATTTTAAGCATGTGGACAGGTGTGATAATGACTAATAAACACAAATCAGAATTTTCAAAAAAGAAAACTTCAAATCTGCAGAGTGGAGGAAATAAGTGAGCTAATATGATTCAATCTACTCATTCAATATTTATTCAATAGAGTTTTTATAAAATTAATCTAGAAGATGAGATAATGCAAGAACAGTAATAGATACATGTAATAGCAGGCAGAAAATGATCAATGCCATAAAAAGAGAGAACACAATTGAAAGATGAGATGGTACCTATCCTGGCAGAAGAAAGGCCACTCCTACCAGTAAATGTGTTTCTCTTCCCCTGGCTAATGGGACAAGTGGCACAATATGGCTGGAGATCAGAGAAATGAGGGTGGTCTGGGTCCAGTCCAAAACCTAAACTCCTGGTCAAGGAATTTGAACTTTATTCTTTAGACATTTGTATTACTCCATGACAAGCAATGTGCATTTCTTGCTTGGTTGAAAGGATGAATTAAGTCATTGATGCTTTTTTAAGCAGGCTAGTGATAAGCTCTAAATTTTACTTTAGGAAGATTAACTCCTCTGCAGGAGGACTGAGACTGATCGGAACCCTGTCAGAAGACTTCTGGCCAAGAGCATGGGGTGACATTGACTGAGATAATGTCATCATTACTGATGGTGCTTAGCCGTTCCACTAGATGCCTCACACAATAAAAAACCAGTTAATCCTAAAAAACAACCCTTTAAAGAAGAAAGAGTAAGTATTTGCTGTTGTTAAGTGCCGGCGAGTCAATTCTGACCCATATTGACCCTGTTCCAAGGAACGGCTGGTGAGCTTGAACCACTGACCTTACAGTTCAAACGACTTTGCAGTCTGACTCATTAGTCCATAACACCACAACAGAACTTCAGAGCAAGTATAGCATCCCCATTTTACAGATAAAGAAACAGGTTCAGAAAGTCTGAGTAACATGTCCAATGTCGTGCATAAAAATGGTAAAATTAGACTCTAACCCATCTGTCTGTCTACTAAGATTTCTGTTTTGTTTTTGGTAGTATGTGGGTGTTCTTCAAATGAGGATGATTCTAACAATGAAATAGAAAGGCAAAGGATAAGGGATTTAAGCAGGGTTAAAAGAATGTAGCAACTGAAATTTGTATGGGTGCAAGGGGTAAGGAATGGAAGTTTCTAGCCCCTATGACAGAACCCACTGCCATTGAGAAACTTCTGGCCTTATAGGACAGGGTAGAATGGCTCCATAAAGTTCCTGGGGTTAGTAAGTCATTATGGAAGCAGATGACTTCATTTTTCTCCTGGTGGGTGACCAGTGGGTTCAGATCACAATTAGCAGTCCAATGCTTAACCTTCAGCACCACCAGGGTGCCTCCTATGACAGAATAGGGGTGTAAACTCAGAACTGGAAAAGAAGACAGAGAATTAAGTTTTGGACTTATTGTTTGAAAGGGGAAGGCACGTTCACTTTCTCCCACACATATTTAAACATTACAATTGAGGGATAAGGGTTGCCTACAACACATGGTATGGCGCCGTAGGATCAGCACTGGACTGTAAACCACAAGATCCGCAGTTTGAACCCAACAGCTACTCCCCAGAAACCCTGTACAGGGTTGCTATGTGTCGGAATCGACTCTACAGCACTTAGCAATATCACCACCACCACACCTGGCAGTATTGGAAACTTCTATCCAGCTTTAGCACAAGTGGTTCTGTTTTCTCGGCTTGTCAAATCACTCTTCAGATGCATTGCCCATCAAGACTCTCCTGACTCCTTAAGTCTGTATCCTACACCTTGTGTTTTCCTATCTTAGTTCTTCCCTCCAACGCCTCTATTTTGATCCGTGTTGTCTCTCTCACCAACCAGACACAATGGCTGGAGGGCTGCGACATTCTTCAGCTTGTATAGTCTCTGAGGCCATCATTATGTCTGATCCTCAACAAACATTTGTTGACTGACTGTTTGACTGACTCCTATTGTTGCTCTGGGAAGGAACTACCCTGCCCTATTAAGTCACAATTTCTTCCTTCTTAGGGCAGCGCAGTTAGCAACCTCAAGACCAGGAAATCCTATTCCTCATCACATACCAGGGTGTTATTCATGCAGTTTACTCATTGTTAAGAGTTCCCTTGAATAAAACTAGCAATTAGTTGAAGATTTATGAATTTTCTGTTGTCTGTCAACTTTTTCACAAGCCTACGTGCGGGGGTTGGGGGGCGGGGAGAGGGAGGAACGTGAGCTTTTCTTGCTCTGGTTTTGAAATACGAGTGGCAATAGCCCTTAGATTTCTCTACGGTAGGGTTTCAGGCACTGCGTTCATGTTGGAATTGGTGTCCTTCTCTTGATTTCGTTTTTTGTAGAGCAAACACAAATGATGGTCTTACCTAGGGTTCGTGAGTGTGATGTGTGACTATAGGGCATGTGGATATTGTTGGGGGAATCTTTAAGTCTCTCTCTCTATATATATAGTCCCTATATTTTTAATAAAATAATTTTGAGATCCACCCAACTGCCTAATTAGTTCCCGGAGAGTCCTGTGTCCGTGAAGGGCCTGAGTTTCCCGGAGCGTTAGGTGTGGAGGTCTGCTATGTGGTGGGAACCTAATTTCTAGGAGGATTTGGAGATCTCGGGAGACCGGTTTTTCTCCCCGCGAGGTTTCAAGGCTGCTAAGAGACACGACTCTGATACCTACTTGGCCAGGCCTGGGCTTTATGGGGCAAAGACGAGATAAGGTTCGAGCTCACAGATGACACCAGACGACCCAGATTTGGCGAGGCAGGGGAGGCGAATGAGAGACCCGGGTGGGGCGGGGGTGGGGCCCCGGCGGGGCGGGGCCTCGGCGGGGTGGGGCGGGGCGATCAGGACGAGACTCGAGGGCGGGGCCTCAGCGCGGCTCGCCGGGTTTAGGCCGCCGCGGGGCTCCGCCTCGCCCGGCTACGCAGGCGGCTGAGCTGCGGCACGGGCCGGGCGGCACCATGGCGGCGGCGGTGGCTGCTGCTGCTGCTGCTGCTGCTGCTGCGGTTTCTTCTGAGACGCTGGCGGCGACTGCCACGGCAGAGCCCGAGGCCAGAGACGAGGACAGTCGCGACGTCCGAGTACTCCAGAGCCTGCGGGGCAAAATCTGTAAGCAGGGATCGCACCGCGGGGACCGCCCGGAGGCGGTGGGCGCGGGGCTGAGGGGCGGCGGACGCGCGGGGGTGGCCGCCCGAAACCTCGCGGGATCGCGGGGCCGGGAGGGGGCTTGGCGGGGGCCGAGGTCGGGTGCGGCGCGCGTGAGGGCCGGGCGCACGAGAGTCGGGCAGGGGGGTGTGTTGGGGGAGGCGTCGCCTAGACGGGTGGCGTGGACTGTGGCTGCACTGAGGGAGAGGAGAACGGGGAGTTTGCCGGGGGTGCTGGGGTGGGGCTGTGCCGGCGTGAGGTGCTCGGTCGTGGGGTGCGGCCTGGACGCGGCACAGCCGTGCCTGTGTGGCTGGGGGCGCGGGTCGGGGGCGTGAGCAGCTTCCGGCCGCCCTGAGACAGAGGCCTCCGGGCTCAGGGGAACGGCCCGAGGTGCTAGCCGAGCGCTAATTACCGGGAGGAGGAGGCGGGCTGGCCGGTGGGGCTGGCCTGAGGGGAGGGGGCTGCCTGTTTCCTGGACTCACGAGGTAGGGTGAGATTGAAAAAGGCGCCCTGGGTTGGAGCAAACAGGCCGTCCTGGTAAGCAAGTGTCGGCCACACGGGGGTGAGCTAGCGCACTGGGAGGGGCTCGGGCCGGACACCTGTACTCGCCCCACCTCGCTGTAGTGGGGACTTCAACTGAGAGACAGCGTGACTGACAGGGACTTGAGGCAGGATGTAGTGGCTTCCTGTGAGCAGGTCTCAAAACAGGCATCCAACCCTCACTGAACCCACTTCATGCCTTTCCTTCTCATGCATTTCATTGTTAACTTTTGTGAGTGAGCCGTATTAGTTGACTAAATACAAAATTTTGTTCAGAAGTTCTCAGCCTTATAGATAGACTATTTAAATCCAGCCATTTGGATATTAACAAACAAAACAAAACAAAAAACCCCAACTGACTCTTTGGTTTTAATTGCCTTGGGGGGGGGGCGGGGGAAGAAAGTAATTGCTTTCTTCTTTTTGTTTTCTTTCTATATATCAGTAAAAAATCCTTAGTAACGGGAGGGAGCAATTTTCACTTTGTATGGAGAAAATTTGATATCATTTAAATGACTAAGTACTCATTTTTGCTCAGGTTGTAGAAGTTTTCTATCACTATAGTGTATTGATTGTGTATTCTCCCACTTGACTTTCTTTAGGTTGCTCTATTTTTCAAGTATATGGGATTGTATTAACTACAGAAATACACATGTTATATTTCTCACCGTTTTATTCCCAGAAGAGTGTGATTCTTAAAACTTGGTAAATGACATCAGAGAAGTCTGAGTCTATATCTTAACTTCTCAACATTGAAGTTATCTTTCAGGCTATAAAATCTTTTCAAAATTTAGATTTAATTTCATATTTGCATATTACAGTATTAATATTTGAGATAACTAGAGTTGAGCCACTGAGCCTCTCTGATACATGTTTACAGATTATAAAATAGTATACACATAACATCATGAAATTGAAAACGTATTTGGGCGATTTCCAAAAGGATTGAGTTGCCCAGCACTTTTACCTGCTCCATGGCAAAGACCATTGAGAACAGTTTTATAAGGAGATATCATTGTGAACAAAAGCTGGGGTATACACATAAAAAAAAGTCAACTTTGTGTGAAGATTGGCTATCCAGTTGCTGGGAATGACACAATCAGCTCCTTGCTTATTTAATTCATCAATAAATTGTTTAGGTCACGTGGAGTGTATGCTTCATAGAAAAAGACGTATTAGGATACTGATACCGAAGTTACACACTATCCTCCCCCATCTCCATTTCATTGCCCTCCTTGTTTAGCCAGGGGTTTATCTCAGAAATGATTCACCTTTAGAACCTTGTAAAGAAATGCTGTTTTCTGTTTCCATGAAACTGACATGTGGGTTTTATGTGGTGGCGGGTGGGAGACTGGAAATGGCTTCACCCACAAAACCAAACCCATTGCTGTAAACTCAGTTCCAACTGATAGCAAACCTATAGGACAGAATAGAACTGTCTCATCGAGTTTTCAAGCTGAAATCTTTGTAGAAGCCGACTGCCACGTCTTTGTCCAATGGAGTCACTGGTGGGTTTGAACCTTTGACCCTTTGATTAGAGGGCTGAGTGCTTAACCAGTGCAACACTATGGCTTCTTGGAAGAGGTATTCAAAACGAAATCAAAGCTAACTCACTTCCATCATAGTAGCCCTATAGGACAGAGCAGGACTATTGATCAGGGTTTCCAAGACTATAAATCTTTAAGGTAGTACACAGTCTCATCTTTCTCCTCAGGAGTGGCTGGTAGCTTTGAACCACTAACCTTTCCATTAGTAGCCCAATACCTAACCCCCAGTGCCACCAGGGCTCTTTCATAGAAATTGGATAATGCTGGTTCTGACAATGAAGTTACTAAGCAGCTTGGAGGTAGGTAACCTATGCCAATGTACCTGCTCGTTACAAAGGGAAACCTTGAGGGAAGTCTTGATTGTATCTACTAAGTAGGTATTAATTGATTAAATGGTGTAACTCAGAAATAGATTTTGTAAATCGAACCTCTATGTCAGATCAGTGGTTCAGGCTCACCAGCCACTACTCGGAAAACCCTGTACAGTGTCACTATGGGTTGGAATCGACTTGAGGGCATTTAATAACAACTTCTATGACTGTGGCTATAATTCCACTAGGGAATGTGTTGTCTTTGTTACTAAGAGAGGAATAGTGTGTTGTTGTTAGTGCTGTCAAGTTGGTTTTGACCCACCGCGACCCTGTATAGGTTTTTGAGGAGCAGCTGGTGAGCTTGAACTGCTGACCTTGCAGTTTAAACAGCTTTGCAGTCTGACGCATTAACCCACAGCGCCACATGAGGACTGCCAGGAATAGTATGTTGTTGTTGTTAAGTGCCGCCGACTCATTTCTGACCCATAGCGATCCTGTGTAGTTTGTTGTTGTTGTTAAAGTGCCATCAAGTCAATCCCGACCCATAATGACCCTATAAAGGGTTTCCAAGGAGCGGCTGGTGAGCTTGAACCGCCGACCTTGCAGTTCAAATGGCTTTGCAGTCTGGTGCATTAACCCACAACACCACACTAGGACTCCCTGTATAGTATGTTGTTGTTATTGTTGTTATGTGCCATCGAGTCGGTTCCGACCCATAGCGACCCTGTATAGGGTTTCTGAGGGTGTAAATCTTTACGGGAGTAGAAAGCCTCATCTTTCTCCCGCGGAGCAGCTGGTAGTTTCGAACCGCTGACCTTAAGGTTCGCAGCCCAATTCGTAACCACTACGCTACCAGAGCTCCTTCCCTGTATAGTATAGAGGTGTCTAAAGTCCATCTAAGGAGCTCTGGTAGCATAGTGGTTATGAATCGGGCTGCGAACCTCAAGGTCGGCAGTTCGAAACTACCAGCAGTTCCGTGCGAGAAAGATGAGGCTTTCTGCTCCCATAAAGATTTACAGCCTCGGAAACCCTATACAGGGTCATTACGAGTCGGAACCGATTCCACAGCACACAACAACAAAGTTCATCTGTTTTGAGAAATAAAGGAGATTAAACAAGCAAGTGAGTAAGCAGAAGTCGGGGAAGAGAGATGTAAGCCACATGAAGATCACCCAGTAGCAAAAGCTCAGAGAGACAAGGACGTTTCCCAGAGCTGGCAAAAAGAGAAGCCTTCCTCTAGAGCTGGCACCCTGGATTCAGACTAAATGACAAAATAAATTTGTGTTTGTTTACCCATCCACTTGTGGTATTTTGTTATAGCAGCACTAGATAACTAAAACAGAATTTGGTACTGAGAAGTGAGGGTGCTGCTCTAACAAATACCTAAAATGTGGAAGTGGTTTTGGAATTGAGTAATGGGTAGAGACTGGCAAAGTTTTAAGGTGCCTAATAGTAAAAGGCCTGGTGTGGCACTGTGGGATAATGTGCTGTATACTGCAAGGTTGGTTTGATCTGCAAGATTGGTGGTTCAAATTCACCAGCCATTCCTTGGAAAGCCTATACAGGGTCTCTGTGAGTCAGAACTGAATCAAAGGCACCTAACAACATTAATAACAACAATAAAGGCAGGCCTTTACTATTAATAACAAAGGGAGTTCTGGTGTGGCTCTGTAGGATGAAGCATTGGACCACAAGGTTGGTTTGAATCACAAGGTCAGTGGTTCAGCCTCACCAGCCACTCCATACGAGGTCATATGAGTCAGAACCAACCCAACGCACATAACAACACAGTAAAGATCTAGATTTTCATGTAGAGACCTGGTAGAATAATGGATGTCAAAAGTAATTCTGGTAAGGGCTCAAAAAGCAGTCAAGAGAGCTATAGAAAAAATGCTCACTTGTCTTAGAGAATACATAATGGTACCAACAACAGAAGGTTGCTAGAAATGTGGATGTTAAATGTGCTTCTAGTGATGCTATTTTTTAAAAAATGAACATGCGATAGGACAATAGGGGAAGGGTGGTGTTTTTTATATAGTAGTAAAGAATTGGATTTTGTTGAAGTGTTTGGCGGTAGAGCTTCTAAGTGGTAAGCTTGGATATCTGGCTGATGAGATTGCTAAGCATGGTTTCTCTTGCTTATAGTAAAATGTGAGAGAAAAGAGATGGGCTTAAAAATGAGCTGTGCAAAATAAAAACAGAACTTAAAGATTTAGAAAATTCTGTTGTATAAACTAAGGACACGTGTACTAGAATTTTCACCAAGGCTGTGGCTATTCAGTCATTTGTTAAAAAGATTTAAGCATGTAACTGATAGATATAACCAACTACCACAACAGAAAACTTACAGCTTAGACCAAAGTGGACAGCGAAAGAATGTTTTCTACTTCTTGGAATTCTACAGACAGGAAACAGGCCAAAGGAGCTAAGATCTGTTGTCTTCCAAGAGAAGATAAAGATCATCCTGGAGCAGCTCAGTTATCCAAAGGATTGTTGGAAAAAGCACAGGAATCGGAGCTGCTTTTCTCTGAGAGTGGGACCACAGTGTCTAAGGTTTCAAAGGGTGGGA